GTCCACTTTCCTTTCAGGAAAGCATAATTTGCCCTTCTCGTCTTCATGCCTTTCTTACTAAACATGCTTTTTTTAAGGGTTTGGGCTGCCCCTAGCATCTTGTAGTATTTATTTTTCCTCTAAAGCCTCCTAGCCATGTGGCTGCCAGCCAGGCACATGTCTGACCTCCCATGCAGGCTCTAAACCTGCATTGCTTCATGACTTTCTTTCTTCCCACCACATACCTTCTCAAGGCAGCTGCCAAGATTACCAGCTTGCCTACCCTGAGGATTTTTCTTTAAGATTCTAATAAAATTGTAAAAGCTTCAGTTTGGGTCCATTCTTAAATTCTTTTATGAATGAGACTAAGAACTCTCTAGGGGACCCTCTTTCTCCCTGTTTCGGTAAGACTGGGGACATACAAAAATAAATGCAGAAATTGATTTTGTGAGTTAGGTTCACAATCTCTACCTTTTCTACAAAGGTTGAAGAGCTAAACAGAAGACAGTGGATCCTGACAAGTAGAAATGACCTTTTAGCCCAATGCTTCTTAAAATGAATCTCCAGACCCCAGATATCAACCTTACCTGGAAACCTATTAAGATCCTAAACCTGGAAACCTATTACGATGTAATTTTTGGCACCACCCCAGACCTGCTAAATCAGAGATTCCAGGTGTGGGCACATCTCTCAGTCTTTTTTTTTTCCCCCCTCTTTTGATCTTTTTGAAACAGGGTCTTCTTGTAACCCCAGCCAGCCTGGAACTCACTATGTGGACCAGCCAGGCTGGCCTTGAACTCACAGAGATCCGCCTGCCTCTGCCTCCTGAGTGCTGGGACTAAAGGCATGCACCACCATGCCTGGCTACATCTCTCAGTCTTAGCAAGTCTTCTGCTGATGAAAGAAAGCTTGAGCACAAGCTCAAGGAGAGGCTTGAGGTCCTCACACTACCCTGGATTTTATCCCCATTCTGCAGTCTTCAGCAGAGGAACCGTTTGCCATGGTTGCTTTGAAGAACTAATAATTCCCCTCTCAGGAACCAAGCCACTCTGTTGCTATGACAGTAATTAGCCACCATGTGAGTACTGGAAACCAAATCTGGGTCCTCCTCCTTTGGGGCTGGAGAGATGTCTCAGCAGTTAGGAGCACTGGCTGCACTTGCAGAAGACCCGGGGTTCAATTCCCAGCACCCACATGGTGGCTAACAACCTTTTGTAACTACAGTTCCAGGGGATCTCACATCTCCTTCTGACCTCACAGCACTACACAACATGGATGTATTTACATACATGCAGGCAAAATACTCATGCACATAAAATAAAAATAATGAATAAAATTAAAAACAAACCAAATCTGGATCATCTGCAAGAGCAGCCAGTGTTCTTAACTGCTGAGCCATCTCTCCAGCCCTTACCTTCATTTTTTGATATGTCATAATATATGAAAATATTTTCTCCCATCTTTTCCTTTTTTCCTTTCTCTTCTGTTGCTTTCTGTCTAGTGTAATGTATATGCCTATAATCCCAATACTTGGGAGGCTGAAGCAGGAAGAGCTGAAGTTTGACCAGCCTAGGCTACATAGTGATACCCTGTCTCAAAAAAAAAAAAAAAAAATTCAACCAACTAATCAACCAACCAACCAAACACAAAAAAAAAAGTCTACACTTAAGCAATTTAAGGCTGATGTCCTACTAGTCTTACTATGTGGCTCTTGCATCCAGGATCCAAGTTATGATGCATGTTGAATACTCCTATAGCTTTGTTCCATATAGAAACAATAAGAAACTATAGCAAAATAATTTTCATTTAAAAGCTAAAACACAGTCTGAGGATGCATCTCAGTTGGTAGCCTGTTTGCCTAGCATGCAGGAGGCCCAGGGTTCCACTGACCACCAGCACCTCATAAACAGGCATGGTGGTGTGTGCCTGTCCTAGTTTGATCTCTGTTGCTTCAATATAAGGCTCTGACCAAAAGCAACTTAGGGAAGGAAAAGGTTCATTTTCTCTTATAGGTGAGGGAAGTCAGGACAGGAACTCAAACAGGAACGTGAAACAGAAATCATAGAGGAAAAGCTGCTTGCTCGTTCATTCACGAGCTCATGCTTACTTTTCCTACACAGCCGGGAACCACCTGCCCCCCCTGGGGTGGGTACTGCCCACTGTCGACTGGGCCCTTCTACATCAATTAGCAATCAAGACAATTATCCACAGATGAATCTGATTTTAGCAGTCCCTCAATTGAGAGTCCCTTCTCATGTGACCCTAGGCTGAGTCAAATTGACAGTTAAATCTAATTAGGCAACACCTATAATTTCAGCACTAGGGATGTAGAGGCAGGAGAATCAGAAGAGGAATCACAGGCATTCCAGGCCATGCTGGGCTACATGAGACACTGGTTTTTGTAAAAAAAAAAAAATTATTATTTTTATTTTATGTTATCAGTGTATTGTCTGCATGTGTGTAAGAGTATCCATGTCATGCAGTGCCTGCGGAGGTCAAAAGAAGGCATCAGAGCCCCTGTAACTGGAGTTACAAATGGCTGTTAGCTGCCATGTGGGTGCTGGGAATCAACCCCGGATCCTCTGTAAGAGTAGTCAGTGCTCTTAACCACTAAGCCATCTCTCCAGCCCCATGAGACACTGTTTTTTAAAAAAAGGACAAATCCTTATAAAGACCACAAACAAATGTGGGAGACAATAACAACACAAGTTTGGAAGAATCTGTCTTTAAAAAAAAAAAAAATTGAGTGCTTCAGCATGCTCAATGTGCTAGATCATCTAAGATTTTGAGTTTCCTAGATACCTCAGTAATTCAGGCTGGGGAGATGGCTCAGTTGGTAAAGTGCTTGACTGAGCAAGCTTGACGCTTTGAGGAGGTAGTGAGAAGAGAATCCCTGAGAGTTCCTAGCCAGAGAACTCCAGGTTCAGTGAGACATACTGCCTCAAAAAATAAGGTGGAAAGCAGTTGAGGAGGACATCCAATGTTGACCTCTGCCTTCCATGCACACACACATGCACACCCACCTGTACATACATGCAAACACATATACACAAACATACACACAAAAATATTTTTAACTCATAAATTTAGGAATTTGGCATAAAAGGTTTGTGCAAAGGATCAAAAATACATGATAACTGCTAGACTATGCCAAAGTCAAGTGGCTTATTTATTCAGGTAATACACAAACTGTGGGGAGGGAATGGGGAGCACATGTAACTGGGGTGGTATATTATCACATTATATTAAGCAACCATTACACAATGACGTATGAGATGCAATAAGCAAATTCCCTATTTGTCTCTATTGCCTGAAATTTCTAGCTACTTTTAATACTTGAAGGATTATTATAGAGATCATGAATGTTCTTTTAAAATCAAATAATTTTATTGGTTGATGGATTGGTTGGTTTCAGTGATAAGGATCAAACCTTGTACATGCTAGCAACTGTTCTGTCACTAAGCTATAAACCCAGCCTTTCGGTTTTTGAAACAGGGTCTCACTGCATTGTCCAAGCTGACCTGGAATTAGCTATCCTCCTTCCTCAGCTTCCCAAGTTCTGAAATTACTGGAATGTGCTACCATGCCTGGAATCAAATAACACTAAGCAAATTAAAAATTCTGGGGCTGGTGCTGTAACTCAGTGAATACAGTGTTTGCCTAGTGTGTGTGAGACCCTGGGTCTGATCCTCAGCGCTAAAAAATAAAATAATATAAACTAATTTCATGGTGGCTAATTGTAAGCCTTATGATTTCAAGTAAAGCAACGAGCTCAACACAAATGCATACTGAGCTATTGCTATTTTGAAGACTAGTGCTAAAGAATGGCACAAGACTTTAAGTCTGGAGGGAAAAACACAGGAAAAGGTATCTTTACAGTGGCATGCTGTGTATTAAACGTTTTGCGGCTATGAGGCTGGGGAGATGGCTCAGTGAATAAAGGACTTACCCTGAGAATGTGAAGCTTTGCATCTGGGTCCCCAGAGCCCTCTACAGTCTACAGTTGGCCTCAGTAGCTCAAGTCTAGAAGTAAGAGTGGACTTATCCCCGAGATTGTCCTCTGATTTCCACAACTCCAAAAGTTCTCCTCTCTCTCTCTCTCTCTCTCTCTCTCTGAGACGGAGAGACAGTGACACACAGAGAGAGACAGATTTTTTTTTTTTTTTCGTCTTTTTGAGACAGGGTCTCCCTGTAGCCCCAGCTGTCCTGGAACTCACTATGTAGACCAGGCTGGCCTCAAACTCACAGAGATCCGCCTCTGCCTCTGCAGTGATGGGATTAAAGGCGCGCGCCACCACGCCCGGCTTAGAATAATGTTTTTTTTAAAATATGTTATTATTTTTACTTTATGTGTATGCGTGTATTACCTGCATGTAGGTAAGTGCACCCGTGTAGGGCGAGACAGATTTTTAAAGCTCTACATCTCCTTTCCAAATTGGGGGGGCACCAAGAGTTTGCAAAGGATGCACCCAAATTTCCCAATTTGGGTCAACCTCATTTTACTAAAATGGTATATGCATGGTTTCTGGATAAGTTATTTAAAAATACTGAATTCTGCCCCATGATCAGATTATGGTTCTAATTTTAGGTTAAAGAAATAGGCACTTGGATCCAGAACAACTTCCTGGACTGCCTATGCCTAAATTTAAACCCTAGCGAGCTCGGGCGAAAAGTCGCCTATCTGGTTTCCTCGTCACCCAAATACAGAGTTGCACTCAAAGGTCCATTTACCTGCTAATTTCTGCCGTTAAAACGCGTGTCTTCTAAGAATAAAATTCACATCAGCTTTTGTGCGAAATCCGCTAGCTGAAAGCTAGCATAACTGTAGGGTAGGCATGAACCTAGTCTTCCCCGGGCCAGCACCCCAAGCCAGCAACAGAGCAGGCGGCGCGGCACCACGTGTCCTCAGCGGCAGCCAGATTGGACCAGCGCATTTCAGCGCTGCGGTCTAGTCTTGCACGGTCCCGCCCAGCTGCCAGACTAGCCCCGCCGCGGAGGGAAGAGGCCACCAGGAGATCTCGGAGGGGAGGGGGCGGGAGGGGGGGTGGGGAATCCTCAGCGACCCACAGCCCGGAGTCTGAGAGGACCCGGAGCAGCGCCAAGAGACCCGACTCGCCGCAACTTGCCCAGACAAGACACGCTTCATCTTTCACCCTGGAAGAAGGAGCCGGCCTACCTCTCCCCGCTCGCTTGCTCCTCGGTCTCGGGAGCCCCGCCTCTGCACCAGAAGCGACCCTGGGTTCTGGGTCCCCCTTGACGCCCCGTCCGCTTGCAGCGCCCGGCCATCGCCTAGGAGCGCGCAGCTGGGGTGAGCCGAAGTCAGGGATGCTCCAGGCGCCCGAGGGACCGCTGCACACCGAGCATCTCGCCTCTCGGCTGGAGAAGCCGGGCCTTCCTCCAGCCTCTGCAGGCTGAGATCCGCAACCCCGCAGATCCCACCCGCGTGGCCGCCGCAGCCCTCACCACCCATTTGCCTCCCTAGCAGGGGTACCAAAGCCCCACTGGACCCGGCTCCCCTAGTCTTTCTCTTTTCGGGTTCAGCAGGCGGGCGGTGCGGTGAGCCGGGGACAGCAGGCGCCGCAGAGGGCTGAGGCCTGCGATAGGGGCGGGGGAATAGGAAAGTATGCCCCCTTTTTCCTGTTCCCGCCATCTTGTGGCTGAGATTTGATGTTAGGGGCCAGGATGGCTAACAGTAGATGCCCCACGTTTGAGTGGTGGCAGCGACTGGGGAGTTTGTGCCTTGGGCCAGCGCTCGTACTCTCAAGGAATACAGGGGGAGCGCGCGAGCCGCCCCCGTGTTCCGCCCAAAGGCCTTTGGCACATGGTTAGAGTACATCCAACAGGCAGAGAAAACAGAAAGGACACGGGCCTGGAGCCATTATCTCCTTAACTAAGCACCTAACTCATTCAACCGTTTTTCATTCGTGCATCAACTGAGCACATTCAGAACGACCTCTTGTTATTGCTTCTTTAGGTGCTGAGAATACATCGTGAGGAACAGACCTCCCGTGTTCCCGCTGATTCGGCCAGCCCAGTGGATGGAGCCCAGAATCCACAGCCCGGCCAGGTCCGTATCCTAACGCTTTTCCACAGATGAGGGAAACCGAAGCCTCGGGCCGGCAGATTATTCTGGGTCAGGCATCGAGTCTATAGAAGGATCCAACTTCCAACCCGTCTATATCTGTCTTTACGACTTTAAAAGGAGGTTGCTTATTAAACGTTTTTGTTTTTGTTTTTTCTCTCCTTGAGAAGTTTCGTGGACGCTTGCTTATATGAAGTGCATGTTTTATTTCCTGGATGTGTTCCTGTGAATTTCTACTTCATGATAACTAGAACGTGTTCAAAATAGTTTCTGTCCAACTCTGCTTCCAGTTAGTTCCTGTGACCTGTATTCTCCTTTTTTCTGTTCACATATTTGGCTATTAGGAAAGAAAAAAATTTTCCTGATGGTTGGTCCAAGCAGGGCCTCCCTGGTGGATTGAGGAATGCCTGGCTTTTCCTCAGCTCATTGATTTCTGTGGTAACCACTGGCAGCCCCCAGAAGACCCCCAAAATGAGAGGCCTGAGGTCTGCGAGTCGCTGCTAGAAATTTTTAGTTCTCCGGAATGCAGTACCCACACAAGTTTGTAAGGTAATCCCCTGAGACCTGTAAAATTGGGTAGAAAGCAAATGGTTGAAGGTCCCATCCATTTTTAATTTCAACATCTTGAGAAATGCTTTTGGAGTGACAAACTTTTGCATATTTTGTGCCATTATCAAAATGTAAAATTCAGGCTGCCAACCCACAAAAGAAGAAAGAGTTCTTTCATACATTAAAGTATGTTGAATGTAAGAAAAGAAAGGTTGATTAGCTACAAGTTTAAGCTTATTGTGGTGGAATTTTAAAAAACCACTCTTAATGTTTTGGGGGAAGTCTTTAGTTTGTGCCTTTATCAAAGTGTAAATTTCAGGCTGCCAACCCACAAAAGAAAAAGTTCTTTTAAAAGTATGTTGAATGTAAGAAAAGAAAGGTTGATTAACTACAAGTTTAAGCCTATTGTGATGTAATTTTTAAAAAACACCCTTAATGTTTTAAGTGTACAATCCTAATGAATAGGTAAATGTATATCAGGGAAATTAACACCACAATCAACATGTAGATCATGTCTGCGAATCACAGATTTTCCTCTTGACGAAAGCCCTCATTTAACTTTATAGGTTTGTTGCTGCACATTTTCTAAATATGTGGAAAAGATGAGGATGAATAGATAGTTCTTAATTTCGAAACTTAAGGCAAGGATAGGGGTGGATAACTAGAAGATGGTAGCGAGACTGAAAATTCTGTGGCTCTGACTCCCCACGTGTGTTTTAGGGGTTTGCAGTACCCAGCCCTTGAAACCAGGGAGGGTGGCTCTCCAGGGTGGCCGCCAGGATGGGTGATTACTGCATCTCACGGGTTCTCTGGTCCGACAGGTTCCTGAGCGCAAGCTGAGCGCGCGCGGGAGGACACGCCCTGCGCTCCAGATCAGGGCCGGGCGCTGCCATAGCAACGTCCTGAACGCCCAGATCTTAGGCCGTTGCCGCCACAGCGGGGGTCCGGGCCTTCACCGGCTCGGTAGGGGTGTGGCGGCGGCGGCCCAGAGGAAGCCAGGGCTAGGTAGACGAGACTGCCCCGCCCCTTCAGCTCAAGCCCAGGCTGTGGATTGGCTTGCAAGCATGGTAAGAGGCGCGAGGCTGGGGATGCCTGTCCCAGGACGCTGGGCTGCCTATTCCCGGATGCCGGGTGGGGACGGTTGGACCCTGGGATTCAAGGCTCCCCAGCTCGCCCGCCTCCCTCTGCGCTCTCTTTCTCCGCAGCCCTTCCAGAAGCACGTCTACTATCCTCTGGCCAACAGCCCCGAGGTGCCCGACGTCTCTGCAGCAGGCGCAGCCCCCATGGCCTTTGTCCCCCCCAGCGGGGCCTCGGGCCCCCTGCCCTTCTTCCAGTTTCGGCCGCGGCTGGAGAGTGTGGACTGGAGGCGGCTGAGTACCATCGACGTGGACAAGGTGGCGGGCGCCGTGGACATCCTGACCCTTCAGGAGAACATCATGAACATCACCTTCTGCAAGCTGGAGGACGAGAAGTGCCCGCACTGCCAATCAGGGGTGGACCCGATGCTGTTGAAGCTCATCCGCCTGGCGCAGCTCACCATTGAGTACCTGATGCATTCGCAGGAGTTCCTCACGTCGCAGCTGAACCTGGTGGAGGAGCGGCTGCGTCTGAGCTTGAGCGACTACGAGCAGAGCAAGCAGCTGCTTAGCAAGCAGGCTGGCGAGATCAAACTACTCAAGGAGGAGTGCAAACGCAGGAAGAAGATGCTGTCTACACAGCAGCTGATGATCGAAGCCAAAGCCAGCTATTACCAGGTGGGAAATGCACCACGGCCATGATCCACATCCAACAGCCAAATTCCCATTAAGAGGCCTTTCCTATAGCAGTATTCTTTCTAAAGATTTGTATGCTAGAAGTTACTGCAGATTTAGGCAGAAACAGTCACTTTAGCCATTTTAACCAACAGAGAAAATGGTTCATTAATGTTGCCTGCAGTCATTATTGAAAGTAATCTAAATGTTGGTTGTTGGACCTTTTCTTCCACCTAATTGATGTCATGAAAAAACCAGCCCTGTGCAAACTGCTAGTGACGTTGGTTCCCAAATGACCTGGAATAGGATTCATTTATGGGCTTTTCCTCCTTCAATAAAAAAGAAAAAAAAGAAATATTCTAAAATATCCTGTTCTAAACAAAAGGAAAGTGCCAGTAGAACAAAGAACCTTAGTGAGCCCAGTCCCCGTTATCTACATTTTCCAACTTGCTATTTTCTCTCTCTCTTCCTCTCTCTCTTTCTCTCTCTCTCTCTCTCTCAGTGCTCCTACATAGGTACCTTTTCACAGTGAGTTACAGAATCCTGAGTTTTTCTATGTATATAGTTCCCAGGAACAAGAATGCTAACATACATAATCATATTTAAAGAATTAAACACCTTTTTATCCTAATCTTAATCTCTGTTATGATTAGACATTAAGCCCAGAAGAAATATTGCAATTTTGAAATCATTATACAGGTTGAGTTATTTCTTCTGAAATGCTTGGGACCAGAAATGTTTTTCTATTTTGGAATAATTGTGTGCAATCTAGCGAGGTATCTTGGGGATGGGACTCAAATACAAAGATTCTTTTTTATGTATATGTACGTATGTATGTGGCTACATGAGTTTATGTGTACCATGTGTGTGCAGGTTCCTGAGGAGACAAGAGCCATTGGATCTTCTGGAGCTGGAGTTACAGGTTGTTGTGAGCCATCTGGTGTGGGTGCTGGGAACCTAACCCAGGCCTACTGCAAGAGCACTAAGCACTCATAACTCTGAGCCATCTCTCCAGCCCATTGGACCCAAATCTAAACATGAAATGTATTTATGTTTCAAATGCAACTTATACTGATAACCTGGAGGTGATTTTATACAATATTTTTGGTTTGCTTGCATTTTGACTGAGAACCATCACATGAGGTTGGCTGTATAATTGTCTGCTTACGAGGCGATGGCTATAACTTGGAGCATTTCAGATTATGGAGGTTCAATTTGTGTTTAATTGGAGAAAGGACAACTTGGATTTTTAAAAAGTAAACCATAGATTGATTTCACCTTACTTTCTAATGATTTGGGTTAAATACACTTTGAAAGGCCTCTGTGGTCTTCGGAATAGTGGAGCTAAGCAGGCTTGACTGGAGAAGTGGGTCTAGGACTGAGAACTGGTACAATTAATATTGCTTAAGTAGATCCCATAGGGATGTGGTGACTGTCTGGAAAAGAACACTGTCAGAAAGGCCTGAGATTGGGCCTTGGGCAGGCCACCTTGAGGCATTCTTTCCTCAAATGATGTTTGATATCCTCAGTGGCCTATTTGTTTTGTAAATGCTGTTCAAAAATTGAATACTTATAAATAGTGCTAAGATGAACTTTTGCGCAGCACATGGAATCAATTCTCTTTAAACATTTAAAGAAAAAGTACTGTTCTCTAGTTTGGGTAGTCATTTATTGAAATATTAATACCTCGACAAAAGTCTATAGCCATCTTTCATTCTTTGAGTCACCATAGAAATAACTGTTATTGAGTAAAGATTTTCATATAAGAATGCTGAGTGGGAGCATGGCTGAGGAGGGAAAGCTCTGTGTAGCAAATGTGAAATATGAACATTCTGTAAATATTAAAGGGAAAGATTTTATCAAAGGAATGACACATGGCAGCTTGGAAGACTGAATGTCAATGCTGCCTATGTGAAGTCTTCATGTGTGACTGTGAAAAGGGTGACTACATCATCTTTCCTACGTAAGCATGTAGGTGCTCTGCCCTCTGTTAAGTGGCTCACCACTGTTTCCTTATGGAGACTTCAGAATGACAGTTTCACAGACCTCCTGGGTTTGAATCCAATTATAAGTCATTTCAAGGAGCTGGAGAGATGGCTCAGTGGTTAAGAGCACTGACTACTCTTGCAGAGGACCTGGGTTCAATTCCCAGCACCCACATGGTGGCTATGAACCGTCCTTAACTCCAGTTCCAAGCGAATCCGAAGCCCTCTTCTGATGTCCACGGCACTGCATGACACAGGTGCACTCACATACATGCAGACAATACACTCATACACATAAAAAAGTAAAAATAATAAATAAAATATTTTTATAGGTCATTTCACTTCTAAACTTCACTTTCCTCCCTGGAAACTGGGGACATTAGTAATAGCTACCTTTTAGGTGGAGAGTGCCTAGTGATAAAGTATGTAGTGCGTGTGAAGGCTCAGTGAAAGGGACCAGCATGTAGATACAGTTTTCCTCATGGCTTTCCAGTAGTGAGTTATGGCTACCTATTCTCTTTGAGAATCTTCAGTCCACTGTAGGAGCTCAGTGAATCATGGAAGTAAAGAAGGCCAAGGCTGCAGTGCAGATGCCACAGGGATTTCTGATTTAGGACTCAGAGACTACAGCTGTGAATAGTAGGCATCTAGCTGGCTAGAATACCACAATAGCAAAACTGTTGAAATTCCAGGTTGTATTTGGGCAGTAATACAATTTAGGAAAAAAAGACACTTAATTTTACTTAGTGATTTAACTTTAGGATACAGTCATGAATTTTAATTATTTATTTATTATCTATTATTGCCAGGACAGTAATCCAACCTAGGGCATATGTATGCCAAACAAGTGCTCTTAACATTAAGCTATGTCCTCAATCCATGAATTTGTACTTAATAGAGAATTCCCAACAGCTGGAGCTGCCTGGTGACCACATGTAAAGATCAGTGTGTACAAGTGATCTATCAAATTATTTCTCAAAATTTAGAAATGCCAGCACTATACTTGCCAGTGTATTATAGCAGGACTTGTGCTAAGATTTTTTTTTTTTTCTGCTTGCTCTCAATATTCCAGCAGTGCAAATAGATACATTTATAATCTACCAGTGAACTTCTGGTAGCAGTTATTATTCATTTCCTTGCAGCAGAAAGAGCATGTGTTTTGTAAAAAGAAGAATGTAGATTAAAATATGCAACTGATAACATGGCTACTTAATGCACCTGAGCTTTGACTCTTTTCCTGTGCAAAATAATAGTAGTAAGGCCTATCACCTCCCATCCCATGGGTTCTCGGCCAGGTTTACAGTACCAGGCACGAGTTCCCTCCTGTGGAGTGGACCTTTAGTCCAATTAGAAAGCTGTTGGTTACCCCCATGACATTTGTGACACTGTTGGATCAATTGGCATATTGTTCCAGGCCACTTATTATAACTCACAGGGGTTCTCAGCAGGGTAAGACTATTGATGCCTTTTCCCCAGCAGCCTGCATAGCAATAGCACTTTCTGGTACTGTGAAAGCCAGCCAGCAGGGAATAAGTTTCCAAGTCAATACCAGCTTCATTTTTCCATGTCCTGGGGTATTCTTCACCAGTAGGGCCTTACCATCAACTTCTAGTGGGCAACCAAGAGCAATGGCAATATCTTGAGTTGTTTTAGGGGCCTCTGGAACCCACCCCCCACCCCCAGCCAACAACTTGATGGAGTATTTTCACACCTGGCACTGGGCTTTTTGTTAGAAACTTAAGACTTCTAGGAAGAGCATTATCCCTTTGGATAACTAGATATCCACTAACCAATGAATGAATAATAAATATATGGTACATGCACACAATGGAATGTTAAGAAAACTGAAACTGAAATGTCCAGATAACAGGATGGAACTAATTTTATTAATTATAATTATATACATAATTTATGTAACCCAGACCCAGAAAGACAAACACTGCATGTTCTCTGTCACTCATAGATCTTAGCATTGACTCTTCATATTTGTTTGTTTAACTTTGAATATGTGTAGAAGCCAGGAAAGTAAAAAGGGACCATTGGGAGAGGGGAAGAAAGAGCTTAAGAGAATAGTGTCATAGAACACAGAGAGTCATATGACGGGGGAAGAGGAATAATGGGGAGGAAGGTTTAAGTGGGGAGGGATATGGAAGGGGGGGGGAGATAACACTAAGGATGTTTGAAAAAGCCATATGGAAACACACTGTTTTATAAGCTTCTGTGTGTGTGTATGTGTGTGTGTGTGTATGAAGTTTATTTGGAGAAAATGTCTTTTGATGGCCTGTATCTTCCTTTATGCTTCTTTTGTATACTTTAAAAATATTTTGGGGCTGGAGAGATGGCTCAGCAGTTAAGAGCACTGACTGGTCTTGCAGAGGACCTGGGTTCGATTCCCAGCACCCACATGGCATCTAACAACCATTCATAACTCCAGTTCCAGGGGAATCCGATGCTCTCTTCTGACCTCCATTGGCATTGTATGACACAGACGTACTTACATACATGCAGACAATACATCACACACACAAAATGAAAACAATAAATAAAAAAATATATTTTATGAAAAAATATGTTTATATATGAGAATAATTTTAGTTTAAAAACTTTATGTTAAATGATAGCATATTTAGAAACCTGCCTTAGTCTGCTAAGTCTGCCACAGCAAACCACAGAGCAAGTGTCTTAAATGATGAAAATTTATTTTCACATATTTGTGAAATATTTGGAAGCTGGAAATCCAAGATCAAGATCAAGGTGCCAAGCAGGGCTGACTTCTAGTGAGGCCTCTCTCCCTGGCCTGGGCATGTTGGTGACAGGATGGAAAACCCATTCCAGTGAGAACAGCACTAGTGGTTCCAGAAAGTACCAGAAGGGCTGTTTCATCTGTCAAAAGATGCATGCCACTGCCTTATTTTAGCTAGGAAGAGCATGCTTGTCTTACATGAGCCCTTTGAGTTCTGAGTCATCATCTGTATCATTAGCCAGGATGGAATCTTATAGGGAGAAAGCCCCCAAGAGGTCACACTGCAGATCCTTGGTTTTAACTGCAAGATGGGAAAACTTACTGTAGACACTTGAATTTGTTGCTTTATTTCAGTGCCATTTTTGTGACAAGGCCTTTATGAACCAAGCTTTTCTACAAAGCCACATTCAGCGCCGCCACCTTGCAGATTCTCACCTCGGTAAGAAATGAGCTCTATGTCAGAACTGTTTTCTTTCTGCTCTCCTTTTCTGTTCTAAGTAAGACATGGTCCAGTACATTTCTCAGTCCCCTTGAAAGTTTCAAGCTGTGCTCATCCAGTGAGTAAATGTCAAACCCCTTAAGTGTACACAGTTCCCTAGCTGCTGGGGATACAGCTGTGAGCTGAACAGAGAAGTCCGACTTTAAATCGTAGGTTCTGATGGAGGCTGAGGAGACACACTTAAACCAATACAGTAGAAATTCTTTCCAAGTGTCAAATGTAGTGAAGGTGACAAAGGCAGTGGAAGATAAGAATAGGAAGAGTCACCTCAGGTGCTTCATAAAGGCCTCTCTGAGGAGGCCATTTCTAATCAGAGACCAGAGTAATGAAGTAGTTATAGTCTGGTGAGAATTGGTACAAGTACATCCCAGGTACAAGGTCTACTGAAAGTGAGGGGCAGGAGGAGAGACAGAACTATGTGTTTGGAGAATGGAGACTGGAGGAATGAGGTGAATACGGAAGTAGTGTACAGGGAGGCTAGAGGGTTGTGGGCCAGATCTCAGGAGGTGATGATGGTCCTGGCCTGTAGATGTTTCTGTGAGTATAATGGGAAACTACAGGATCATTTTGAGTAGAGGAAGGTCATGATATATAATTTGTTCCTTAAAATGAGCACCCTAGGTACAGATGCGTAGTCTCCAGGGTTAACAGTGCAAGTTATTGGAGGGATCGGGAGGTGACACAGCAGTCCAGGTGAGAGATAATAGCCTGGACCAGGATGGTTCCAGTGCAGAAAGAGAGGAGGAAAAGGACATGCAATAGAAACTCATATCCTGCAGGGATATGAGTTGGTGTGAGAGCAAGAGATGAAGCAAAGATATACTCATGTTTAGATGAATGTTGGCAGTGTTGACTGATGGAGGCTAGGGGTGGGAAGGGGATTGAAAGAGGAAGGAGACTGCAGTTTATGTTGGCCATGAGTATGTTTACACCATACATACAAGAGACATGGATGTCATATGGCAAGGGTCCAGAGATAGATATGGATCTGCAAGTCCCTGGAGGACAATCAGGCTGGCTGAGGTTATCTAGTGGAAGTGAGAAAGCCCAATACTAGGCTCCACCAACACTAAGACACAGATAGAGCAGGTGGAGAGTGGCAAGGAGAGAGACCTAGGGAATGGGCAGAGATGAAAAGCAAGAGGAAAGGTATTCTAAGAAGAAGGCAGATGTATCGAATGTTCCTGTGGCAGAGACTGGGGTGCAGATGGGGAAATGACCACTTACTGTTGTTGTCACAACAGTTGTTGACTTTGATACAGTAGCTTCAGAGGATAAAGCATGAGACAAAAGCCCAACAGCTGAGCTGAGTTGGAAATCATGAAGGGATGCTCTTATCACGCATCACACATCTATTTTAGTAATGTATGCTGGGAAGAAAGGTGGGGACCTGAGGCATTGTCCAGATTGAAATGTGGGGCCAAGGGAAAGTTTTTGTTTTGTTTGATATGGGGAGTTCATGTGTTTGGCTGTTATTGGGAACTAACCAGAATGAAGAGGCGAGGAAATAAAGACTCAGAGAGGGGAGAAGATTCTGTGGCTTAGTGAAGAGTCATGCTTCCTACTGTTCAGATGTTCTCAAATGCAAACAATGTAAGGTCTCCTCCGCAAGCAGGTGAAGGCTTTGTGTCACAGTAACCTTACAGAAGCGTTCTCCACTTCTAGACAGATGTGTGTATTGCCTTCATAAGGGGCCAATCTGTTTCTATTTCTTCCCATTTCAGGTAAATAGATTTACTTAGGAAAAGGCTAAGCTTTGAAGAAACAAAACAGAGAGCATGGAATTCCATTTATAAATCATGGATGGGTCATACGTAAGCAGTAGACTAGAAAAATGGGAAAGTTGAGCTATTTTAATTTACCTACCATTCTTCGGTGTGAAACTGACCTTCTTCCTCTTCTGTTTCAGTATCTTACTCTGTCTCATACTCCTTTCAGAGAATGTTTCAGACTCTGAAACGAGTATTATTTCTTCAGGTCATCTTTGAGATTCTGACTTTCTACTTTGGTTTCCATTCCTTTCATGTGTACAATCACAGCACATGTATACCCATTCAGTCATGTGTACATCCTCATGTAAGTACATGGACATAAGTATTCTTCCTTTCACTTGTTGCCTTCTTGTACAGCTTTTCAGTTCTTCGCTGTTGCCCTAGTTGTCAGATTACTGCCCGAGTCTGCATCTTGAATGCCCAGCCCTCTGTATTAGGGAAGCTGGGTGGGGAAAAAAAAAAGGATGACTGTATGATTTCAGCACTGTGGTACTTATACATAAAGCCTTGCTTCTCTGCTCTGAGACAGGCATCTTTGAAGAGTTCCATGTACCACAGGGTCAGAACAACCAGGATCACTCCCTGAACAGGGCACTCACATTGTCTTTGAGTACAACTCAGTACAATGAGTAGCAGAAAGAACTGCTAAAAATGAAGTGCCCAGTCACATGAAGGGCTCAGATAGACACTAAAGAACAAGATTAGGCTCATGGCATGAAATAAGTAGTAATGTCCTGAGTAAGAGTATTTTCCTTTGTCTTATCTGTAGGACTGTACTCTGTAAGTTTTCAGATAAGTTCATAAGAAGTAGTATTTTTAACTAGATTCCCTGTTGCAACAGAGTATAATACAAAGGCCCAGACTGACAAACTCCAGAAGGAGGTCGACATGTTGAAGGAACAGCTACAGATGACCAGGTCTCAGTTGGAGTCTGCCCAGCATACCCATGCAGTCCGATTCTCTAAGGTAAGGTGCAGAGTCCTAAACTGGTAGTAATTTAAGTACAACCCTATATGAATTCATTTGTGCCAAAGACACTCATAAGCAGAGACCATTTGGGCATTTTTAGAACTCTACAAATGTGGACTGGGGAAATAGCTCAGTTGATAAAGTGCTTAAGCATAGGGGACCTGAGTTTGGCTTGGTGGTAGATGCTTATAATCCCAGCTCTGGGGAGGCAGAAGCATGTGGATCCCTGGGGCTGGCTGTCCAGCCAGCCTAGCCTAATCAGTGAGCTCCAGGTTCCAGTGAGAGATCCTGCCTCAAAAAAAACAAAGTGAACAGATTCTGAGGACCAACACCCAAGATTAACCTCTGGCCTTCATAAGATGTGCAGACACATGCATGCCCACTAGCATACACTCATGAACACCAACACAAACCCACAAAAGTAATCAACAAAATGTGATTGGATTTTATATTGTAATCTATCCTGCAGTATCTTACTATAAATTTATCACATCACTAAAACATATTTCTACTTTTTTTTAAAGTCAGGTAAAAGTCACATAACATAGACTTACTTAATCTTAACAACTTAGTACTTATTATCCTACACTGTCGTGAGTCAGAAGTCTGTTATGAATCTCATTAGGCTAAAATCAAGGTGTCAGCCAGACCATCTTCCTCACTGGAAGCCTATCCTAGTTTGTTTCTTCATTGCTGTAACAAAACACTTTGACCACTACCAACTTGGGGAGGAAAGGGTTTATTCAGCTTATATCTCTTGGGTCACAGTTCATCAGGGAGCCCAAGGTAGGAACTTCAGGGCAGGAACCTGGAGGGAGGAGCTGGAGCACAAGATGGAGGAACACTGCTTTACTGGCTTGCTCGCCTGGCCCTGCTCAGCCTGCTTTCTTATGCAACATAGGCCCACTTGCCCAGAGTGGCATCACCCACAATGGGCTGGGCCCTCCCACATCACTCAACAATCAAGAAGATGCCCCACAGACATGGCCACAGGCCAGCCCTACCAAGAATTCCCCAATTGAGGCCCTCTCAACCCAGGTGTGTCAAGTTGACACTAAAGCCATCCAGCACAAGGCCCTAGGAAAAGAACTTTCCCTGCTTATTTGGGTGGTTGGCAGAATTCAGTTTTTTGCAGTTATAGGACTGAAGTCCCTACTTTCTTTCTGGATGAACACCAAGGGTTGTTGCTAATTTTCTTGTGGGGCTCCCCACAATTCTTGGCTCATGGCTCTCTTCCATATTCAAGACCATCAGCAGTGGGCTGAGTCCTTTTCTTGCTCTCTTTTCATTACCCATCCATGTGACCCAGGTATCAACTTTGGTGAGTGGTTGGAGGGTCTTGTTCCTAAGCTATTCAGGGCTGACAAAGGCCTAAGGAGGAAACATGGATGATCTTTCTTTATTGAATGGTCTTCATACCCTTGTTGAAAAACCATTTATGTTTATCTACCCATATTGCATTATCACTGTAGTAAGTTTTGAAATCAGGAAATGTGACTCCTCCATTTTTTTTCTTTTTAAATATTGTTTTAGTTATTTAAGGTCCCATTCAGCTCTGTATAAACTTGAGTTTAGCCTTTCCTTTTTAGAAAAAATACTATCATGATGATATTATATTCACCCTGTTGATTTCTTTGAGAATTGCCGTCTCTGTGTGTGTGTGTGTGTGTGTGTGTGTGTGTGTGTCTGTGCGCACACATTTGTAGAAGTGTGAGAGTGCGTGGAGCTCAGGGAAGAACTTTGGATATCTGTCCTCAACTTCCACTTTATTTGAGATAAGTTCACTTTTTTATTTTTTATTTTTTTTTTGTTCTTTTTACTATGTAAATACACCAGACTAGCTGGCCCCTGGGCTTCTGGAGCTTCACTTACCTATACCTCCTACTTTCTATTAGGTGCACAGTAGGATTACACTATGCTTCCAGCTTTTATGTGGGTTCTAGGGATTCAAACTTAGGTCCTTAGACTTTCCTGGCAAACACTTTCTGCACAGAGCCATCTCCCCAGTCCTTGAGTTTGCCATCTCAGCAATAGCAAACCTTCAACTCCCATGAATTTGGAATGTCTTTCCATTTATTTAGGTGTTCTTTAATATTTTTAGCCATGCTTTATAATTTTCAGTGTAGAAACTATCTGCTTTTTAGTTAAGCTTATTCCTTTCTTTACTATTATTTTCTTAGATACAATTATAAATAGAATTGAGTTAAAAAGATTTTTTTGGATCATTGATTACTTATATAAAAACAATGATGCCACGTTGTAACTCTAGTAGCTTTGTTTGCAGGTTCTGTGTGCAGATCTGTGTTTAGCTACATATCCTTTGCAAAACAATACTTTTGCTTCTTCCTTTCCAATTTGTATACTACAACTTTTTGAAAATTTTTATGTGTATGAGTGTTTTGCCTGCATGTATTTAAGTACACCTGTGCTGTGCAGTGCCCATGGAGACCAGAAGAGGGAGTAGGAACTGGCATTTCAGACAAGTGTTAGCTGCCATAGGGGTGCTGGGAATCAAACCCTGGTCCTTCAGAAGAGCAGAAAGTGCTCTTAACCACTGAGCCATCTTTCCAGACCCCATGTACACTACTACTTTTTCATGCCTAGTTGCTCTGGCTAGCACCTCAAGTTCAGCATGGAGTAGCTGTGGTGAAAGCAGCAAAAACAGTATAGCAAAACTTTGTTCTGTTCTTCATCGGGGAAGGATTTCTATCTTTCACTATTGGCTACTGGTTTTTCTTTTCTTATTATTATTATGATAAGGAACTCCCCTTCTTTTCCTATTTCTTTTTATCTTTTGAGGGGGATATTTATTTTTATTTTATGTGTATGAATGTTATGCCTGCATGTGTGTAAGTGTACCTGTGTCATGCCATGCCTGTGGAGTCCAGAAGAAAGGTATCAGATCCCCTGGAACTGGAGTTCTGGATGGTTGTTAGCCTTCATGTGGATGGTGGGATTCAAATCTGGGTCTCCTGTAAGAACAGCTAGTGTTCTTAACCACTGAGGCCTCTCTCCAGCCCCTTCTTTTCCTACTTCATTAAATTATTCTTTTAATCCTATAAGGGTGTTAATTTGCCCAGTGTCTTTGTTTTGTTTTGTTTTGGTGGTGATGGTGGTGGTGTCTGTGGGGATGATTTTGTGTCTTCTTTTTTCCTTCAGTACATCAGTAAGGTGTATTACCTTGATTGACTTTCTTGTGTTACACCAATCTGTTTCCTAAGATACATACCCCTTGGTCATGTGTAAAGCTCTTTTCCTTTCATAGTGTGTGTGTGTGTGTGTGTGTGTGTGTGTGTTCACCATGGTGAGACTGTGGAGGTCAGAGGAAAATTTGCAGAAGCCAGTGCTCTCCTTCCACCATGTGGGTCCTGGGAATCAAACTCAAATTGTCAGGCTTGGCAGCAGGAGCCTTTACACCCTGAACCATCTTATTGGCCTTGTAAAATTCTTTTAATTTGCTGTTGGATTTAGCTTTTGTTTTCCTTTTTGTGTGATACCTTTGTCTGCATTTGGTAATCAGGATAACAGTGCTGATGAAGGGTGTAAGAAATTTTCTCTTTCATTTGAAAAATTTACATGGGGTTGGCATGAAATGCTTGGTAGAATTCACCTCTGAATCCCTCTGGGCCTCGACTTTTCTTTGAAGTTTTGATTATAATTTACTTTTTGTTTATTCAAAGTCTATTGAAATTATCTTTTTTCTTGTGTCAGATTTGTTTATTTTTGTGTTTCTAAGAATTTGTTTCACCTAGGTTATCTAATTTGTTGGCATGCACTTGTCCATCACATTCTCTTATATTCCTTTTCATTCCTTTAAGGTTGGTTGTCATGTGCCCTTCCTTCTTCCCTCCCTCCCTCCTTCCTTCCCTCCTTCCCTCCCTCCTTCTTCCTTCCTTCCTTCCTTCCCTCCCTCCCTCCTTCCTTCCTTCCTTCCTTCCTCCCTCCTTCCTTCCTTCCTTCTTTCCTTCCTTTCTTCCTTCCGTCAGTCCGTCCTTGACAGGGCCTCACTGTATAGCCAGGTTGGGTCTGGAACTCACTATGTAGATCAGGCCAGCCTCGAACACAGGTCTACCTGCATCTGCTTCCTAAATGCTGGGATTAAAGGTATGCGCCACCATGCCAGCTCCACCTCACCAATTTCTTAGGCTTGTTACAGACTTGCAGTTTTGTTAACTTTATTTCTTTCCTTTTGCTGGCTTTTAGGTTTATTTACTCATCTTTTTCTGTTTCCTTTTTTAAAATATTTTATTTATTATTTTTATTTTATGTGTACGAGTGTATTGCCCGCATGTATGTAAGTGCACCCATGTCATGCAGTGCTGCGGAGGTCAGAAAATGGCTTCAGATTCCCCTGGAACTGGAGTTAAGGACACTTCGTAACCGCCATGTGGGTGCTGGGAATCAAACCCAGGTCCTCTGCAAGAGCAGTCAGTGCTCTTAACCACTGAGCCAACTCTCCAGCCCCTTTTTCTACTTTCTTAAGGTTTAAACTTAGGTTATTTGAGTTTTTGAAGTGTAGGGTTTGACAGCTTTAGATTAACCCATGAGCACTTACTTGGCTGCATCCCATATATGTAGGTATGTTACATTTAAATTTTAATACACCCTAAAGTATTTTCAAGTTCCGGTAGTGAAATTTTCTTTGACCTATCAGTTATTTAAGGTTATGTTGGTCAGTTCTTACATATGGCTAATTTTCTAGCTTCTTTCTGGTATTGATTTCTAGCTTTGTTCTATTTTAAATGTAGAAAATTCCTTGTAGTAATTCAATATTTTTAAGTTTGAGTAATACTTTGTCATCATTCATGGACTCTGCTGCTGCATATTCCATGTCCATTTAAGAAAAATGCTTATCTTGGCTCAGCAGTTAAGAGCACGGACTGCTCTTGCAGAGGACACAGGTTCGAGTCCCAGCACTCACATGGAGGCTCACATCTGTAACTCCAGTTCCAGGAAATCCAATGCCCTCTTCTAACCTCCACAGGCATTGCATGACTTGGGTGTACCTACATACATGCAGGCAATACACTCATACACATAAAATAAAAATAATAAATATAGTAGTATTAAAAAATGCTTATCTTCTGTTTGATGCAATGTCTGCTAGGCCTTATTAGTTTTTAGTGTTGTTTGGGTAGCAAATTTAGGTTAGAAAACTAAAGATCATCAAGAAACCAAGTGTTGAGAGACTAGATCTTGAATGTAGCCCTTAAAATCTGAATTCAGGAAGCTCTCTCCTTCAACTGTGTGAGTTCCAGAGATGGAATTCAAGTTGTCAGGCCTGGAAACAAGTGCCTTTACCCACTGAGCCATCTCACCCATTCCCCAGCTGTATATTAATTTGGAAGAATCATTGTTCATAGGCCTGCTATTATAAGAAGCCTAACTCAAGAAGAAATACTAACAGGTTTGAGGTAAAGCTATGACTTGTTTTAAATTTTGCATATCTGTTTTGTACCAAAGCCTTTAATGCCACATTTTCAAATAATTTCAGGAATATGAAATGCAGAAAACAAAAGAAGAAGACTTTCTGAAGTTATTTGATAGGTGGAAAGAGGAAGAAAAGGAGAAACTACTTGATGAAATGGAAAAAGTCAAGGAGATGTTTATGAAGGAGTTTAAAGAATTAACTTCTAAGAATTCAGCATTAGAATATGTAAGTATTAACTTAGATCCATTGCTTACTTTGAGCTGTGGTGATAGCACAGCATTTTGGCTGGAGGATCAGAAGGCCCTGTACCATGCTCCAGTACACACAACCCCTTCTTCCTGAGAACACAGGAGTCTGAGGTACATGGTAGACAGGGCAGGTCAGAGAAGTCATTCTGTTAAGAATGAGAATTCTATCCCCAAACCCCAGAATATAACTCTCTCATGGGTGTGTTTGTTCAACTCTAGAAGAAGGTTTCTTGTTCCTTATCTGGTTAGGTTTAAAAAGCCTTAAATCATGAATCCTTCCCTGAATTCAGGAACATTCTACAATAGTGAATAAAAAGACTGACCCAGACCACCAAGGTGAGAGGAAAAAGATGATCAGAAAGACAGAGGAGGTGCCTAGCTCTCTCCTCACTGTGACAGGTTTGTTTGTGAGGAAGACAGGATACCTAAAGTAACCAGGATGTGGCTAGTGAGCCCCTGGGCCCTGTGGGAGCAGCTGTGGTCCCTGGGCATGATGATAGACAGGAATGCACCTACCTGGGCTGGGACATTCATCCTCAGTACCTGTCAATCAGGTTCCTTTTGATTCAAGAAATCCTGCAGGAAGAATAAGAGGAAAGTTTAGGCTGATCCTTGAGCTCCCTCTAGGGGCCAATTCGTTTTAGGAACAAAAATATAGAAGCTACATAATGTGCAACACTGAAGTCCTTGACTTTTCCTTTGTCTGCTCCCGGATGCTGTCTAGCACACCACAGTACAGTCAGTTGTCATTTTGTCTTAGGAGGTCCCCTGTCCATGATAGTTTTCCGTTTTGCTGATGGCTCAACAATTTAGAGGCATAGAGGTTGGTTATATTGGAAGCCTTGCTGTTGGGATTTATCTGATGCTTTCCTCATGATTTGGCTGAGTTTATAAATTCCAGGAGGAGGAGCTAAGAGATAATATGCCTCCTCAATTGCACATTGTCAGGAGTACACTGTCTTCACCACTTATGGCTCTTTGGGTGGCCCAGCTTCCTGGATGCAGTAGTATTTATCAGAACAGATTTCTGTATTGAACAGATTCTCTTTGCCTCTTCTTTGAAATGGCCCTTGTGAAGGGATAGTGAAATAGGCTCCCAGTCCTTTTGTTTTGAAATTAACGTCACCACCTCTTGTTTTCTGTGAGTGTTTTGCCCTGAGTAAATTTGGGAAAATTACAACATTAGATCCATTGTAGATTTTTCTTTTTTGAGACAGGGTCTATATGGTCCTGGTTGACCTGGAACTCCCCATGTAGACCAGGCTGGCCTGGAACTACAGCTCAGAGATCTGAACAGAGATCTGCTTTGTCTCTGCCTCCAAGTGCTAGGATTAAAGGTGTGCACCACTACATTTGGCCTCTAGTAAATTTATTAATGTAGGACCGAAACAGTGTTTGCCCTCCACTAGATTAACTTTTTAGAACTTTCTATAGCTGTTTTAAAAACACCCTAGTAATCCTAGCACTCAAGAGGCTGAGGCAGGGTAATTGAGAGTTCAAGGCCAGACTAAGCAACATAGCAAAACCCTGTCTGAAAAAACAAAAGAGTCAGATATACCCAGTTCCTCTGATAGCCATTATGTACCCACTAAAAATTTAAAGATCACTTGTCTGCCGTTCAAATGTTGGTTTGGACAGGAAGAATCAGTTTTCTTTAAAGGTTTAATCCTTGGTAGATTGACCACAATCTAGGACGTCCACATCCTGGCGTCCACATGCATGGTGTGCTGTGCCCTCCACCCCCATAATAAGAAGTGATTTTTGTAACTGGAAAAAAGTTGACTTCCTTTCCCTTTATTACCCTACATACATTCTGATGGGAAAATCGGAGACCATAGATGAGGAAGCAGAAGAGAGTGGAGCCCTGGGAAGAAGCAGCAGGAGAAGCTCCAGGAGTGTTTGGAGGACAGGTTCAAGCTTGCCCTCCTGTCTCTCAGCATCTGCACTGCTTCAGTCTGATAAAAGTCTAACCTTTGTATTGGTGATTTTGATTCTATAGCAATTGTTAGAAATCCAGAAGTCTAATACACGGATCAAGTCCAACATAGGCACCTTAAAAGACTTTCATGAGTTTAAAGAAGACCATCTTCCGTATCCACAAGATTTCCAAAATATGCTGCAGCTTATTGATATCCAGGTATGACGTAGGTGGCAACCATGGTGGTGACTTGGGTTTTTAAGTTTTTTGTTTTTTTTTTTTTTTTAATTGTATGTGTGTGTCTACATGAGTGTGTGTGCACCGTGTGTGCAAGAGCCCACAGGGAGCAGAAGAGGGCATCAGATCCCTTTGGAACTGGAGTTACAGATGGTTGTAAACCATCCTGTGGGTACTGGGAACAGAACCTAGGTTTTCTGCAAAGGCAGAGGGTTGTCTTAACTGCTAAGCTAAATTGTTTCAGTTTTTCCCCAACATAATATCAATTTGAACTGATTGGTGTTGATAGCTAATTGATAATTGCCCTTTAATTTTTTTTTTCTTCCTACCTCAGATGTAGCTCTCACTTTCAAAAAGCATAGAAAGGCCTTAAAGGACCAGATTTATTTTTGTTTCAAATAGACTATTACATTAGTTTACAAACAGTTGTTTTCATTATTTTGTTTGGAAGTCAGCCTTCATAATTGTTCTGTAGTAGTTATTTTGGTCACGGTGGTTTAGGGAAGCAATTTTTTTTTAAAGCTAAAGATATTACTCAATGGCCTACCATGTGTGAGGCCCCAAATTCATTCTCCATTCTGTGTGAGGGGAGAGGAGACCCATGGAGATTACTGTCTGTGAATTCAGGAATTTTTTAAAAAGGCAAGTCTATCCCTTTCCCTAAATTTTTTTGAATAAAATTAATTTTATTGTAATGAATGGGGAGAAAAAGACTGGGCCAATGAGATGGCTCAGTTGGGGAAAGGCACTTTCTGCCAAAGTGTGATGATCTAGGTCCAAACCCTGGGATCCACATGTGGAAGGAGTGAACCAACTCCCATAGGTTGTCCTCTAACTTCCACATGTGTGCAGTGGCACATCTGCATCTGCACATACACACACACACACACACACACACACACACACATACACATACGCACACATTCATATATGTACACAATAAATAAATGAATAAATGCAATAAATTTTAATTAAAAAATAAACCCAGGGCTAGAGAGATGGCTCAGTGGTTAAGGACACTGGTTGTTCTTGCAGAAGACCCAGGTTTGAATCCCAGCACCCACATGGCAGCTACAAACCATCCTTAACTCCAGTTCCAGGGGAATCCAAAGCCCTCTTCTGACCTCCACGGCATTGCACAACACGGGTGCACTTACCTACATGCAGGCAATACATGCATACACATAAAACAAAAATAACAAAATTAAAAAAAAAAAACATTTTTGAAGTAAGATTACTGCTTCTTGCTTTAACATCAGGTCTAAGTCTACATTCTCCATTATAGCATGGCCAACCATGTCCTGTCCTGTTTAACATCATTCAGTGACAGCCTACCCCCACCACCACTTCTCAGACTCTAACGAGCAGCAAAGTCCTTGTCTCCCATCAGATCATACTTTGTGCTGATGCTCCTGAGGTCCCAGTGTCCTGCCTCTAGAACATGGCATCCTGTCCTCTGTCACACCTCTGCTGCTTTCTCTGTCTGGTGGTGACCTCTGTTTTCAGGACCTGACTCTTGCTGGAATAGCACCTCTTCCAGACGATTTTCCTGAACCTCCTTTGGGTTATCGAATTTCTTTGGTCCTCTGAGCAGGACCTATTCATATTCACTTCCAGTAGGAATTCTCTGTCATTGAGTCCACTCTTTTTTTGTACACAGTACAGCCTCCTTTTAATCCCCTTCCAGCCTGTCAGTGGCTGCTCAGCCAGGTGCCTGGCATAGAAAGGAAATGAGTTTGCTCACTCTGTTTGACATTTGCTCAATATGTCTCATGACCTGAAGCACCCACTTATGAATCCTAAGTTCACATTTACATCTTTTTCTGTCTCCTTCCCCTGAACTGAGTTATCCATTTAGAACTCGTAGACCCAGTCTTTTAGCCCCTTAAATCTCTTTTTTAATATTTTATTTATTTTTTTATTTTATGTGTATTGCCTGCATGTAAGTAGGTGCACCCGTGTTCTGCAATGCCCACGGAGGTCAGAAGAGGCTGTAGGATCCCCTGGGACTGGAGTTACAGACAGTCGTTAGCTGCCATGTGGGTGCTGGGATTCGAACCTGGGTCTTCTGCAAGAACAGTGTTCTTAACTGCTGAGCCATCTCTCCAGCCCCTCCCCTTAAATTCTTAAATCAGCACATATTTTTTGCAAATAAAGTTTTATTAGAACACAGTCACACTCATTCACTTGAATCTTAACTGTGACTGATTTCCTCTACCCACAGTCATGACAGACTCCCCTAACCCGACCCTAGCCTAAAATAGTTACTATTAGCTCTGTCTTAGAAATCTCTGATGATCTTTTGTTTGTTCTCTTCCAGGCAAGCAAGTGGACAGACCGATTTCAAGTTCTCAACGAGGAACACAGCAAGGAGAAGGATCAGGTAAAACTGAGAAATCAGGGACTTACTGCCTCTCTCCCTCACTGTCTCCCTCCCGCTTCCCCTTCCCCTCCTCCTCTCCTTCTCCCTGTCTGCCCTGAGGATTGAATCCAGTCTCGAGAATGCTTAGGCAAGTGCTGTATTGCTAAGTTACACTCTAAATTAATTGTTTTTTTAAAAGAAGTCCCAGTTTTCTCAATAATAAAGGTAGTATTTTTCTACTTAAATTTCTGGAGAAATGTGTCATTATTTATAAATAATATAAAATTATAGTTTTAATACCAAAAATAGCCACTGCTGTTCCTTTGTTAGCTGCTTTTTACTTTCCTTTCTATATTATAAACGTTATTTTTTTATTTTTAATATATTTTATTTATTTATTTATTTAGTCTTTTTGAGACAGGGTCTCCTGTAGCCCCAGCTGTCCTAGACTCACTGTGTAGACCAGGCTGGCCTCGAACTCACAAAGATCCACCTGCCTCTGCCTCCCAAGTGCTGGGATTAAAGGTGTGCACCACCACGCCCGGCTATTTTATTTATTTTTTTGAGAATTTCACACATGTGTGCAGTATCTTTTGATCATATCTACCCCTTCTCCCCAATCCATCTCTTTCTGGACGCACTGCCACCATATCTCCCTATCAACTTCATGTCCTGTTCTATTTTTCTTTTTTTTATAACCCATGGAGTCCACTTAGTGCTGCTCATAGGCACATGGGTGTTGGGCCATCCACTGGAGCATGAGCAACCTACCAGGGGCCATACGACGGAAGAAAAATGATTTTCCCTCCACCACCAGCCATCCATTGTCAGTAACTGTTCAGCTAGGGGTGGGGCCTCGTATGCTCCTCTCCTATCCATGCTGGAATGTTGACTGGCTTTGTCTTGTGCAGGTCTTGTGCAGGAACCCATAGCTGCTGTGAGTTTATGTGTGCAACAGCCCAGTCATGTCCAGAAGACACTGGAGCCTGTCTGCATTTTCTGAGTTCAGATTCAGAAAAGCATAACTTTTCCTTTATCTTTTCCCTCTTTCTCTCTTTGTCTGAAGCATGCTTTCCCCAGAACTATGTTTCCTTACTGTTTCTCTAACCCCCCCATGTGGCTGCTTACAAATGGCATGGTTTTCTCTTTTCCTCTTCTCCATAGTTCTCCTCCAGACAACTACCAAAATTTATAGCTTGCCTGCTCTGTTGTTCTTTTTAAACACTAATAAAATTGTTCTCGAGCTTCCTTCTGAGTCCATTTTAAAAATCTTTCATTAATGAAACTAAGAGCCTAAAGAGGGGTAACATGTGGCACCCAACTTGCCTAGCAGTCTTCACCATCTCTGGCTCTTACAATCTTTTCACCTTCTCTTCCCAATGTTCCCGGAGCCTTGGGTACTTGGGTAGGATGTGCGTGTGTGTGTGTGTGTGTGTGTGTGTGTGTGAGAGAGAGAGAGAGAGAGAGAGAGAGAGAGAGAGATCCCATTTAGGGCTGAGCAGACCACAATTGCATATTCTCTGTACTTGGACCAGTTATGAGTTTCTCTGTTAACCACTGTCTACTGCATAATGAAGCTTCTTTGGTGAGGGCTGAGAGATAAATTAATCTGTAGATATATTAATGAGTATGTAGAAGGCAGTTTGATACCATGTCCATTTAGCAAAATAAGAGTAATAAGTGCTCTCCTAGTGCCTGTGACCTCCCCAAGCCTCAGGTTCTTGGCGTACTTTTACAGAACCAGGCATGAGTTCCCTCCTGTAGAGCTGGCCTTGATCCAATCATAATGTGGTTGGTTACCCTCCAGAACATTCATGCCACTATTGCACCAATGGACATATCTAAGTATACGTCTCCCCTCCATGCATAGATGTAGTATTACAAAATTTGCACCTGTACTTTTCAGCATATAAGCATACGCCTATGTTTTTTCTTCAAGTCATTTTATTAGCCGAAGTGATGATCTTATTTCAGTGCTTTGTAAGTTACTTATTTTTATATTATTGAATAAATATGTGATTTTTTTTTCACTTTTCTGAACTGGCATGTAAACTTGATTATGATAGTGATTCCCTGATTCCTGTTCAATTGTGTATGTCAAAAATTACATTGTGCATATATTTCCATTAGTGCAAAATATATAAAGTAGATTTATTTGAGAATATCTTAAGATAAGAAATCTTGTTTTTCATACCATATTATCTTTTGTACCCTCTGTATTCTTTATAGATCTTTTCTGAATGGAGAAAGCTGTTTTCTTTTACATTTTCTAAAATGACTTTCCTACACATAGTACCAAGTACCTCATTTATATAGTACTAAGCATAGGACCATATGACCAAAGATCATGTAATGTGTATGTGTGTGTGTGTGTGTGTGTGTGTGTGTAACAGCTAGGAGAAAGAAAGGTTAAATGACCACAGAACCTATCCATTTGTATTCGTCTTCCTAAGAATAGTAAATAGTGAGGGAGAAAGAAACTGTAGACAATACCAAAGCTAAAATGAAGCAAAACAAGCAAAAAGTAAAATTCTATAAATTTCTACAAAACACAGAATGTTCTAGGGGAAGCTTGGTAGGAAGGTTAGGTATTAGCCTAACTTTAAAATTATATAATGGCTGGAAAAGGAACTCTGAACCATGATTTTTCCTCTGTTCCATCTGTAGTACCATGTATTCATGTAAATAATTTATGTATATGCTTATACATGCCCACAGTAACTATAAATAATGAAAATTGTATCACTGATACAATGATTCAATTGAGGAGATACTTATTGAATGACTACTGTGCACTACTCATTGCAGGACTAAAAAAGGGTGAGAGCTGGATGTGATGTCACACACTTTTATTCTCAGGATTCAGGAGGCAGAAGAGGATGGATTTCTGTGGGATGGAGGCCAGCCTGGTCTATATGTTGAGTTACAAGCCAGCTGGGATAACAGTAAGACTCTGTCTCAAAAAAAATAAAAAAAGAAAGAAAGAAAAGGAAAAAGAGATAAGAAACAACCCCTGCTCTCAGGGAGTGACATTTGTCTGTAGGACAGAAAGTAGAAGTTGGGGCACTGAGAATGGATGAGAATTATGAAGAGATCAGTGCAGAATATCCATGAGTTGAGCAGAGTTTGCTCCAGTGTGATATGAGATACTTGTGGATAATTCCCATGTTTCTTTCTGTAGTCTAAAACCAACTTTCTGAGCTCTAGATCAGGTGCCCTGCTCTGTTGGTACTAGATATCACTTTGGGGTTCTTAAATATAACAAGCTAAAATGAAGTTCTTTGGGTTTTTCCAGTTGTGGTTTGTGGTAGGTACCCTAGTCCACCCAGATGAACATCTATCCCAGGTCTCTCCTCAGTCCCCATCAGCAGGCTCTGAGGTCATGTATTTCTCATCCTTAGTCCAAGTATCTCCATCTCCTCTGCCTTAAGCAAGCCTGTATCATTCCCTTGAGAGTCCCATCCTTCATCTTCCTTGTTCCCTTTTCCTTTCTTTTAAAAAATATATATGCTTTCATTCTTTGAGAACTTTATGCAGTGTGTTTTTTTCATTTTCAAATCCCTTCCTCCATCTCCATCCTCCAACCCGTCCCCCAATATCATTCCTCTATTTCTATTTTCTTTTTGTTGTTGTTGTTGTCTTTTTGAGACAGGGTCTCCCTGTAGCCCCTGCTGTCCTAGACCTCACTATGTAGACCAGGCTGGCCTTGAACTCACAGAGATCCGCCTGCCTCTGCCTCCTGAGTGCTGGGATTAAGGCGTGCACCACCACACCAGGCTCTATTTTTCTTCTTTTTTAAAAAAAAATATTTTATTTTTTATGTGTATTGTCTGCATGTATATAAGTGCACCCATGCCATGCAGTGCCTGCAGGGGTCAAAGAGAATTGAATTCGCTGGAACTGGAGTTATGGGCAGTTGTTAGCTACCACGTAGGTACTGGGAATTGAACCCAAGTGCTTTATCCACAGAGATGCTGCCTTGCCCAGGGTTGCTGAGTCCAGGCCCTATATGCTCTAGGTCCTGTGCTATGCATTCAGTCTGGCTAGACTGTCATTCTTCAGGGATTTAGCCAGCTGGGAATAAGAACAAGCAGGGACAGTGTAGAATGATTATTTGCCTTATAAGGAAAAAGGACAAAGGATCTTCCCACTGAGGTGCTCTAACATAGTAGTTCCTAACTGAGAATCACTTCAGAGCTGCCTGAGACTCCTCCAAAATACACATGTCCAGCTTTAGTCTTTGAGATTCAATTGGTAGGTAAGTCAAGAACATGCACATTTTGGGAAAAACAAAAGCCCAAGGTAATCTAGCCTGTTCTGTTTTAGATATATGGTTCGAGCCAGTGCTCTTAGAAAAATTAATGTTCCTATTCATTCTCCAAGGCATCTTTGTAGCATTGGTATTTGGGGACAGAATTCAGGTTTCCTTAAGAATGGGGGGAGGGCATTTTTAATCCTCAAGTCCACAGTGTATCAGGCAACTGTGGGAATTTCAGTGTCCTGGCTGGTCTAGGATGTGTGTTATAGTTCCAACACTTTGTCATTCTAAGTTGTGTTAAAAAAAAGTAACAGAGGAAGAAGGCAAGGCCTCCCCTGGCTCTGCACAGACTCATACACTGCCCGGTGTACAGACTCATGCACCAGCAGGCTACGCTGTTCCTTTGTCTGGTAGTGTAGCTATGCAGAAACTGTGTGTTTCTCCTTTAAACCATAACAGAGGTGAATTCAATCAAGTGCAGTCATCTTTGCCTGAGACCTAACTATTAATTATTCCACATGATTGGTGCTTACTCTTCCCACAAAGCACATACTGTGTTTCTCTGTTTAGGAGTTGCCTTTGCCAAATTTTTATTGCTTTACCTAGATTCTTGGCAGTTTTCTTTTTCTTTTTTTAAAAAACTAACATTGGTAGGAGTTCAAAGGGAATCACTGATAAGCCATGTGAGCCTTTCTGACCCAGCATAAGATGCCCTGGACTTTAGGAGGTTGCATAATAGTCATGCAGTAACAGAGAAGGAGGATGGTATTAGATGCAAAAGCAGAAGACAGCATAGAGTTTATAATGGTAGATCACAAAAAATGGGCTCGAGACTGCAAGCTTCCTGAGATAGTTATGGCAGCCTTGCTTAATCCTTCACATTGCCCTCTCAGTGAATTTTGTCTATCCCTTTGCTATCCTTTTTATTTTATGTGTGTGAGTGAGCCTGCATGTAGGTAAGTGCACCCGTGTCGTGCAGTGCCTATGGAGGACAGAAGAGGCTGTCGGATCCCCTGGAACTGGAGTTACAGACAGTTGTTAGCTGCCATGTGGGTGCTGGGATTCGAACCCAGGTCTTCTGCAAGAACAACCAGTATTCTTAACCACTGAGCCATCTCTCCAGCCCCTGCTATCCTTTCTTAATTCCAGTATCACAGTGACATCATCCCTTGATTTCTTACCCCATCTTGGCTCTGCCTCGGTTTCTTGCTTCTTAGGGACCCAATTTGATGATCTGGTCCAAGATACCAAATTTCTACCTAAGATTCCGAATGTTTTGTTGTTGTTTTGATTTGTTTGTTTGTTTGTTTGTTTTGTTTGACAGGATCTCCCTAGTCCCAGACTTCATGGAACTCCCTATGTAGACCAGGCTGGCCTGGAACTCACAGAGATTGCACCTGCCTCTGCTTCCCAAGCACTGGGATTAAAAACATGCACCACCACACTTAGCTTAGTAAAGGTTCTTGACACTATTTATTTATTTATTTATTTATTTATTTATTTTGGTGTTTTTGAGACAGGGTCTCCCTGTAGCACCAACTGGCTTAGAACTCACTATGTAGACCAGGCTGGGCTTGAGCCCACAGAGATCCTCCTGCCTCTGCCTCCAAAGTCCTGGGACTAAAGGCATGAGCCACCATGTCCGGCTTGACACTTTATTTCTTGGGGGGAGATTCTTAGTATCCACTAGGCTCTGAGGGGTTCTTTTCTGACTTCCCTAAGAAAGTCTTTCTCACACATTTCAGCTCAGTGTTTGTCCAGGCTTGTGCACAGCACAGAGAACTTCATGGGCAACTAAGAGCCTTGACCCTGAAGCTAGATACATAGTTCAAGGCTAGGCTCTGCTCTTTTGACTGAATTTGGGTCAGGTACATTACCTCTCTAGACCAATTACCAAGCTTTTTTTTTTTTCTTCTTTACCCTCTCTGTTTTTGCTGTACTGAAATTGCTGTAGCAACCATTCCTTAAATTGTCAAAAACATATCCTTCTAGAGTTCTTTGTGTTCAGTATATGCTCTTCTTTGGCATTAAATTTCTATATTAGTTAGTCTGTGTTGCTGTGATGAAACACAACAGCAGTCTGAGGGCAGAAGGGCTGACTTTGGCTCACAGTCCATCCAGGTGGGGACATCATGGTGTCAGAGCTTCAGGCAGCTGGTCACAATGCATCTGTAGTCAGCTCTTTCTCATTTTCATTCAGTCCAGGACTCCATCCCTGAGAATAGTGCCCCCCACCTTTAGAGTGGGTCCTCCCACCTCAATGAACTGAATCTAGAAAATCCTTCACAGATAATACCTAGCAGTTTATTTTCATGGTGATTCAGTATCCCTTCAAGTTGACAAGATTAACCATCTTACAGGCTGGGATGATGGCTCAGGAGGTATTTGCTTTCTAAGCAAGAGGATGGGAATTCAGATGCCCAGAACCCATGTAGATGCCCACTGGGCACAGCAATCCACCTCTAATTCCAGCCTTGGAAGGCAGAGATAGGATCCTCAATGTAAGACCAGCTACATCAGTGAGTTTTGGGTTAGATTGAGAGCCCCTGCCTGAATACGGTAGAGAGTAATAGAGGACGATTCCCAATACTAATCTTGGGCTTACACATGCACATGCTCCCCCACACATATACAAACATATGTATGCACAACACATACAAATACAGAAAACGAAGAAAGAAATCAGGGTGTGGTGTGGCATACCTTTAATCCCAACACTTAGGAGGCAGAGACAGGTGGATCTTTGTGAGATCCAGGCCAGCCTGGTCTACATAGTGAGTTTCAGGCCAGCTGGGGCTATAGGGAGAGCATATCTCAAAAAGGAAGAAGAGAAAAAAATAAAAATGAGTAACCATCACAGTCTAAAGAGAGACCTATGTACCTTCATTTCCCTCCCTCCCTCCTTTCTTTCTTCTCCCTCTTTTCCTCAAGCTCCTACCCCTATGGACCAGAGCTTATGCTGACTGATGGGAATATAAAATAAGTCAGGTGCACTCTCTGGCCAAAGATTTCCCATTTGAGCCAGCATGGCACAAGTGGATGTATGTGTGGTGGGGAGAGACAAGTGGATGTATGTGTGGTGGGGAGAGACAAGGCTGCGTGAAAAGATCATCGTGGAGACAAGAGCACCACTCTGGGAGCGATGTAATCATCCTTTATTACCAAGTAGCCCTGTGTTATTTCATGTAATGTGCTTAAGCCGGCTCAGCTGCCTACCTGATCAGCTTTGTCTGCCTCTGATCATAAACTCCCTGGAAAGTCTAGCATAGCCAGGGCCTTAAGATGCCTTGTCAAATGACTCGATGCACACTGATAGAATAGAAACAGAAAAAAAAAAAAAAAATCAAAGCAGGCACATACAATCTTAAAAAAAAAAAAAAAATTATATTGGCCGCCTGAAGAATAAAGCCTTTTTTATTTTTTTATCTCCACTATCACCTATAGAAAAACTCAAAAAATCTGTAGAAAAAAAAAAACATTGTATGTGCAGCCTGCAGACTAATGCCTTTCTTAATTTTTTCTAGCTCCTGTCACATATAGAGAAACTCCAAAACACAATGATGAATGATCTGAGTGCGGATAACATTTTCTATAAGAAGCGGGTAGAAGAGTTGGGCCAGAAACTACAGGAGCAGAATGAGCTGATCATTACTCAAAGGCAGCAGGTACGTCTGGAGGAGCCTGGAACTAAGCTTCCAGCAATAGCTGTAAAGCAGATTCACTCAATTCATAATGAATTTGAAGGCAGGTAAGACTTCTCGGTGCTCACTAGGAGATGTAGCCAAATCCACATTTCGCTTTTGTAAAACTCCATGTCTCCATGTGCCACATTTTTGGATGATTTAATGAAAAGATTAGTTTTCCAACAGCCATATCTATCTATATGCAACCTATCCCTATCTACTTTAGAATGTGAATTACTGGCAGACCGTTTTATCTTTTGCAGATTAAAGAGTTTGCCAGTAAACCATGCACCAGTATCGGTGAACTGAAAGGTAAGTGGACAGGATCCCTATGCTAGAGCCAAACTCCTTTGCCTGCCTACTCTGGCCCAGAAGAATGTGGGTCCTGCTGTGTGCTGCTAAGGTGGCATTCTCCTTGGTATTTTAATTTGAGATATCTGCCCTCTTGTTATTTTAATATTTGAGAGATCTGTTGCTACAACCCAGAAAGTTGAAGAATTGAAAAAATCTAAACTATCATTTAATTTTATTTAACTCAGACATTATGCATGTAATACTACTTAGTGGCCATTTATCTCTTAAGGTATATACATAAGACAAAGTTAAAACCACAGGGTCTAGAAATAGTCTGAGTTCAACTCTCATCTCTGGGACTTCATGTCTTTGTGAGCCTCTATTCAGTTTCTTTGGCTCTAATGTAGGAGTACTAATAGTAACTATACCAATTACAAGGATTAAATGGAATAACTCATATTAAGTACACTTGTTAAACACCTAGTGCTAGCTATTAGGATTAATGTTAAATGCTTAATTCTCCTAAAGTACTATAAAGGCTTGTTGTAGCCTCTCAATTGTGATAGTTTGGGATTTACAGCTTGCCTGTCAGCATGGTGGCTGCACACACAGCCTACTGGCTCTGGCAACCATAGCCCAGCCATCTCATATCTGTCATGAGTTGGAGCAGAGGAGCGGACACTGCAGCCATAAGTGTAAGATCTGACAGTGGTGCCTAACAGCCTTCTGCCTAGACTCCTGCCCAGAGATCTAGTCTTCACCCCTGCATGATTCAATTTATTAAGGAATTTTTGCCTGCTTAAGGGAATGCCAGCTAGGGTTTGGATGTGTATGTTACGGTTTCCTTTAACGTCTCTTAGGATAATGAGAGCTCAAGTGATGAGAGATATCTAGAATTAATAATTTAAATATAAAAATTGACTGGAAGTAATTCCATGAAAATTTAGCTTTTAACAGGATTTGAGTCAAACATAATCATTTTCTTGAGTGAGGTGTTATATATGTTGCAGAGCTTCATGTATTTTTCTGGTGACAAAAATTGGGATATGGGCTGCCAAATCTAGTCTTACGATTTTCATTTTTCACTCATTTTTGTCATCTTAGGGAATCCTGTAACCTGGCAAGCACTGGAGACGAAGTCAGTTGGCCCAGCTGCACCTAGTAAGCTTCTGTAATAAGTTCAGGATCTAAATATCTTTAAAATGCCAAACCAACACCCCATTTTCACTTGGTACTTGTTTAGAGATTTTTCTTTGAAAACCAATGTATTTGGTGATGACATTGATTCATTTTGATTCTTAACTGTGACTTAGTTCTGAAACCAAATGCTGTAAATACTGTGTGATTTTTGTTAGTTTGGCAGTTTGACTTATAAAGGGATGAGTAAAACTTGTGTTGGCATTGCAGGAGTTCATGCTTTTGGATTTCCCAAAGTAGTACTCTGGGAGGACCATGTTTGGAGGTATGGTCATTTAGGCATGACAGAGACTGCAGGATTTGAGCAGGTCCACCTGTCCTCACTATGATCAGATAGCACATTTGCTCTAGGGCCTGGACTTGTCAAGATGTGGCTATAAACCAAAAAGATAATTTGGGGTCTAGGGAGATGGCTCAGTCAGCAAAGTCCTTGTCATGCCAGTCTGAAGACCTGAGTTTGATCCCAGCACCCGTGTAAAAGATTAGCGCAGTAACACATGCCTATAATCCCAGTCCTGGAGCAGCAGAGACAAGAATCTCTGAGGCTTGCTCTCCAGCCAGTGTAGGCAAATCTGGGACTCCAGGTTCAAGAGACTCTGGCTTAAAAGATGAGGTGGAGAGCTGGAGAGATGCAGCAGTTGTGAGGACTGGAGTTCAGATCCTTAGCACCCACATAACAAGCCAGGCATCCCACAAATATATACTCACAGCCTTAAATATATACTCACAGACATAAATGAATAATATAAATCTAAATAATAATAATATAATAATATGGAGACTGATAGAAAAAGATACTGAACATTGACCTCCAGCCTTCACACACTCCCCCACACAAATATACATGAACACTTATATACACATACACACAAATATATAATCTTTACAAACTTCTTTTCCCAGTGATAGTGAAATAATTGAGATATTTTTATTCCTTTCAAGAAAGAGGGGAAGAGGGGAAAATAACTATGGGTAGAGGAAGTAAGAACAGATGACAGTGATGAGGGGACAGTTAGATATACCACGTACACAGAGGTCTGGCCCACTACTGAGACCAGGACTGAGGTTGGGCACTGAGGGCTGATACCGTTGACGAGGGCAAGGCATCAGGACAGGACTACCTAAAATTAAAGGACATTCATTAATGGGTATGTTTAGGAATTTGGCTAATCATTTTAATCATTAGCCTACTGAGGGACTTCTTTTTTGAAGCTGCAGTTTCCTCCCAAAGCCAAAGAGAACTTGAGTGGTGTGGTGAGGAAGGGAGCTTGGTGTCATGGGGAGAAGCTAGACTTCCGTTTTAGGAAACAGAGAAAATAAGCATTTCAGAGAAGGATGAAAAGTCAAAAGGCCAAGTTAAATGACAAAATGTCACCAAACATGCAGCAGAATAGAAAAAAATAGCAAAGCTATATTCATGGCTTTTTTCTGCAAATAGGTTTTTAGATAGTCTGAGGGTATGCATTAAAATCTATTGGGATATGAGAAATTACTGGAAGTTTTTACATATGAGAAAATTCATTCTTCAAAATTTCAAATACCTTAATGTTTTATGTATATAATGTTTGTATGATAGATGTGTAAAATTTATTTTAAGAAATATTTGTAATTTTTACTGATTGGGCATAAGGGAAGAAAAAGTATGGATGTCACTGGGCTCTGGAGAGTTATGGGGAAAAAATAGGCCCATATGTAGATGTCCCTTAAAGGTAGTTTACTGGTCCCCAAACCCTCTAACAACTTGGAAAAAGATCTAAAATCCAAGGTTCTAGTGATGTTAGGAAAGTTCTGTTCACTAAAGGAACAGGTGTACCCTAACTTTCAAGATGAGAAAATTCAAATTAATAAAGCACAGAAGAACAGCACAGGAGATATATAATGAATAAATTGGATTCACACCTGGCAAAATGAAGGATTTCTAATGTCTAACGTAAGGCAGATGTCAGACCATTGGACTCTGCCATTGTGTACACTCAGTGATAGAGACTGCAGTCAGTTTTCTTAGGCTGGATTTACTTCCCTGCCACAAATGGGGAAGTGAACGTTCTACTGTATGAAGACCCTAATGTGCTGTTTAGACCCTAGTCATTTTCTTTTTTAAAAAAATATTTTATTATTTTTTTGTTTTATATGTATGAGTTGAGTGTATTGCCTGAATGTATGTGAGTGTACCCATGTCATGCAAAACCGCAGAGGTCAGAAAAGGGCTTTGGATTCCCCCGGAACTGGAGTTAAGGACAGTTTGTAGCCGCCATGTGGGTGCTGGGAATAAAACCCAGGTCCTCTGCAAGAGCAGTCAGTGCTCTTAACCGCTGAGCCATCTCTCCAGCACTGACCCTAGTCATTTTCATACCTGACTAACTGCCTTCATCATAAGGGAGTGAGTTTTGTGGTTTATGAAGAATGCCAGGAGAGGATCCATTTTAACAAGATTGCATCTTTTGATTCTGTGAACTGGAGAACATCTAGGTCAGGCATGGTAAACAGTGTTTTTCTCTTTTCTTATGAAGGAATAAATAGTGAGAGAGTAACTATTTTAAGTTACATGGGCAAATGTTCTCTTCTACATATGATGGTGTGATATTACAAAAATAGCCACAGACTATAAAATGGAACGAATTCAGCTGTGTTTCAATAAAACTTTACAAAACCCATCAATAGGCTAGGTTAGAGTATTTCCCACAGTCTATAGTTTGCTAAACCTTGATCTAGATTACAAAGTTGCAAATGGGTTCAGAAGTCCTATTTCCAATTGTTAGCAATTTACAGACAGGATTGGGAAATTTTTGCCAGTATTCATTGTAAAGACAAAAAATAAAATGTATGGCTATGGAGGTAATATATCATGATCAATATTTTTAGGATAGGATTTGAATTAAAGATGAACCAGAGAAAGAGATAATAAGTAGGTAAATTGTTTAGTGAAAGAAATCCATGTAACTAGATAGTCCAAGGACTCGCAGATAAGAAATGTGAAATATTCCAAGAGAGGCTGAGGAATCTACTTTTCAATAGAATTAAAAACAGGATTTAGTGTTGCCTGAGTATATAACCTCTATCTAAAGCTATGGCTAAATTAACTCCTTCACATCTTCTGTCTAGCCCAGTGCTTGGAATATTTTTGTTTTGTTTTGTTTTGTTTTGTTTTGAGACAGGGTCCTCCCTATAGCCCCATCTGGCCTGGAACTCACTATCTCGCAGAGATCCACCTGCCTCCACCTCCAGAGTGCTGGAATTAAAGGTGCGCACCACCATGCTGGGCTTGGGATATTTTTCAGAACTTGTTGGTACCTGATGCTCATTGAAGCATTCTTCCAAAGTGGAAGCAACCTGAATGTCCATCAAATAATAAAGGATAAACAAATTGTGGTCTATTCATACAATGGAATGCTTTTGACCATTAAAATAATGTTGATATTAACACACATTACACAAGGAAAACATGCTGCTAGGTGAAAGAAGCCAGAACACACTGTATAATTCATATTATGTGGATGAATTGTCCAGAATACCCAAAGTTATAGATACACAAAGTATGTTAATTGTTGCCAGGGACTGACTAAAAGGGGGCTATTAGGGGTGGGAAAAGAGACATGATAGCTAGTGGGTATAAGATTGGGGTTGCTATTGATCAAAATGTTCTAAGACTGGATACTGATTGTGGTTATGCAGTCCTGTGAATATACTAAAAGCACTGAACTATATATATAAAGGGTGAGTTATTTCTAAATAAAGAGCAGGGCTATAGCTCAGTGACACAATGACACAATGCTTGTCTAGCATACATAAGGCCCTGAATTTGATTCCTGACATCTCAAAATAATTTTTTAAAATTTTATTAAAAATTAGTTAAAGTCAGCTGAATAGTGTCTTTTATTTGAGACAATCATCTCTCGTGGGCAGTCTGTATGTTGATATGAGGACTATGCAACCATCCTCAAGGGTCAGATTACACTTTAATGATAGAGCTGGTGAGTTTTTCCCTTTTGTTCTGTTTTAGTGAATGCCTCAGCCACACAGACTCTGGAAGGTAAATCAAGTCTGTCAATGGTACATGGTAAGTTTCAGTACTAGTCTTCAGCATTTTATGTTTTCACCCTGAGTTAGGTAACTTATTAACCCAGCGTGCTGGGGAGGGCAGTAATTACATAAAACAGGAAGCACTTCAGTGATTACAAAGCTGTTCATGAAACTTCAGTCTTCATACATAATATTATTGAAAACAACTTACCACAAAAGCCATAAAGTGTTCAATGTGTGTGGTGTCAGACTTACCACTAGCAGTTTTAACGTTGGTACTTTGATGGTTTATAATCTTTGTGGAAAGTGGTAGATATTACGTAAGAATGGGGTGGCTTGCTCCTAGTCTAGGCAGCCAGCACACACCACAGGGCATATGTGGTGGTTTTCATAACTTTCAATGTGGTAGCAAGTTATCTTTTTTAAATAAACAGTTTCAGCAATTGGTTAGGAAAATCTAGAAAAGACATGTGATAGAAACTAAAGGAAATTGGATGAGATTTTATGGGATAAAATCACTGCCAGGATTCAGTCCTTGGCTGAGGACAAAGGGTAAGGGTAGCAGTTGCTGTTATCGCCATTTAGTAGATGGGTGAATACTTGTAGCCATTGTTCACTGTTTATAGCATTAAGACACTTGCACTTTTTGTAATATGTTCCTTATGTTTTCATGTGGCCTGCTGTATATTACAAATGAATCAAGAAAGAGGACTGTCTTTTTTTGTCTCATCTTACTCTAATGATGTCTACACTTTCTATTTTGGCCCATTAAAAGAATAGACATGGGGGGCTGGAGAGATGGCTCAGCAATTAAGAACACTGTTTTTGCAGAAGACCCAGGTTTGAATCCCAGCACCCACATGGCAGCTAACAACTGTAATTCCAGTCCCAGGGGATCCGACAGCCTCTTCTGACCTCAGTGGGCATTGTACAACATGGGTGCTCTTACCTATATTGCAGGCAATACACATAAAAAAATAAAAAAATTTAAAAACAAGACTAGACATGGGCTGGGGAGATGGCTCAGTAGATAAGGCGCTTGCCATGCAAGCACGAGGACTAGAGTTTGGATCTCCAGAACCACGTCAAGCTGGATGTGATAGCCCACATCTGTAATCCCAGTGCTCCTGGGAGGTGGGGACAGAATTTTTGGACGCTCACTGGCCAGGTAGCCTGACATGCAGCAGTAAGCATCAAGAGACTTTGTTTCAAAACAAGGTGGAAGGTGAGGACTAACATCCAAGGTTGTCTTCTGACCTCTACATGTGTACTATGGCACACACACCCACACTTAGACACATGAACACAACACACATGCACATTGGGAAAAAAAAAAGAAAGAAAGAAAGTGGCTGGTGAGATTGCTCAGCAGGTAAAGATGCTTGCTGACAAGGCTGATGACCTGAGTTTGATCCCTAGAACCCACGTGGTAGAAGGAGAGAATTGACTCCTGCAAGTTGTCCTCTGACCTTTACATAGTTGCCATGAAATATTCATGTATGCATACATACACACATCAATCAGTGTAAAAAACATTAAAGAGTAGACATCAGCTGAATGTAGTAGTTCATGCCTATAATCCCAGCATTTGGCAATCAGAGTCAGGAGAGTCATTTGGGTTCAAGGCCAGCCTAGTCTACACAACAAGTTCTAGTCCAGCCAGAGCTACATAGACCCTGCTTTAAACAAATAAGTGAAAGAATAGACTTAAATAAATCTATGATGGAACTGGTCACTTTGCTTATGTTTTTGTCTTCATAAATACTCTGGTCTATACATGATGATCTTTAGTAATGACCCTTTTTATCCATGCTGCCCAGGAAGAGTATATTGATTATATCTATTTTTTCCTAGGATCACTACATGTGGGCTACTTGTTTTAGACACAGAATGTAATCACGTGCTAGGCTTTTTTATACAAGTTTAAAACACTTAGGTCCCAATCCCCCTTTGAACTGGTAACAGATAAATATATGTTGGGCATAGATAAATTTACCTTATATTGAATATACAAGAAAATTATTTCTAAATTGTATTTTTTTCACGTTAAGTGTAAAATCTGCCTGCTGCTCTCTATTTTAGGGTTGATTTTTATAAGGCATTACTGGCCATTTGTCTTTTGAACTTGCTTTCTTTTCTATCTGTTGTTAGACTTCTAAGCAATAGTATACAAAATCCACATTTTCCTTAAAAATATTTTTTAAATATTTTTTATATTTT